TGCTTTCACTGTGATTCTTGTTGTTTGTTATTTTTTTTTAAATGAGTCATAATGAATCATTGTAAGCTCTTTCGTGAACCCCTGAAGACAGCGATCACTACCACACACTTACCGATACAGCCGTAGTAGCTGCATTTTTACTTTTATGTGTGTATGAGCACTGCAGAATATGGTAGCTGTACTGTGCTTTCCACTCGCATTTCAAAAAACTCAAAAAACTGTAGAACACACAACGCTTAATCTTTATGGTTCAGTTACTAACTATAGGCTGGTCTGTGAAATCTGAGTGGCTTCTCTGTCGCTCATCTCCTTGGGTAAGACTTTGTGCAGAGTTCAGCCCTGAAGCCCAGCTGCTGAGAAGCTGACAGGTGCTGCAATACTTAAATGAATCCCAGAGACAAGCATGTTGCTATCAGCCTCTGGTTAATATGTAGTTTATAAACTTGAAGCTCCTCTATCTAGCTATTGAAAAAGGGGAGATTTTGTTTTCCACAATAAGTCTTGTATGTCTAGTAAGTACAATCAGATGCTGAACTGCGAAGAAAATAAAATCTGTGTCCAGCTGCTTGCTACTTGACCACTGTTTCTGCTGTACATTGAACAAGACCGGAGGTGTTGGGAGATGATGCAGGAGGAATCAAAGGCTACGTGGCGTGACACATGTGCATAAGACATAAGGTTTTCTATCACCCAGTTGTGTTTTTTTATTTCAGGGTGTTCTTGATTTTGATCTGCTCACTTTTATTGCAGCCTAAACAATGTTATTCATGGTGTTATGAGTGAGTGGGCCTATAAAAGTTTGCAACATCTTCTTACAGAGCTGTCACAGAAAGAAAAAATCAAAATGATGCATGCAGGGGTAATGCAGTAGTAGTCTGTACAGGTGTCTGACTTGTGTAGTGAAGTAAGGGGCACCAGTTGGTTGTCATCGTCTTCCTGGCTCATCAGGAATGTCAGAGGAGCACAGCTGGTCAGTGGGCTTTGTGGTTAACTGCTGACAATAGTGGGATACTGGGAGTCTGGACTGCTGGATTCTGTTCCACATCAGAAAGGGAGCTTGTTTTTTTGCGCACAGGCTCCTTTTCCAACTTGGCATCCTCTCATTTCTCAAACATGCCACCCCCCTGCTGCCTTGGGCTGCTCACTTGTAATCTCCTGGATACGTTGGTCCAGTTATAGCTCTTCTGCCCTGTTGCTCTGCATAATTTCTCTACGCAATACTAAAACTTCAGAGAAGAAATGATTTCCATGACTTGCATACAAGAAGTGTATCTGCCCAGTTCTAGGAAACAG